ACTTAGGTTTCTTTGATTCACTCAGGTTTGTTTGACCTTATTCTTTAACAAACCGACTAAATCATAAAAAAGAAATCAAAAGATTCCAAAAGAAAGCAGTGGAAACCTGTTTTTTTGACGCAATTGTCTTATTTTTTAATTTTAGATAAGTTATTATATAGAAAAAGGGGTTTTGACGTAAAAAACTTAGGTTCCTTTGATTCACTCAGGTTTATTTGACATTATTCTTTAACAAACCAACTAAATCATAAAAAAGAAATTAAAAGATTCCAAAAGAAAGCAGTGGAAACCTGTTTTTTTGTTGTTTTTAAGTGAAATAATGATTTTCGTGAAATAATTTATCGAGTTTTTAGCATTCTCACTATAAAACATAAAGTTAGCTAGGTTGTTTTTCTTAGTATTGACTTAATCTTTATTAAATCAACATAATCTTAAAAAAGAAATCAAAAGATTCCAAAAGAAAGCAGTGGAAACCTGTTTTTTTGACGCAATTGTCTTATTTTTTAATTTTAGGTAAGTTATTATATAGAAAAAGGGGTTTTGACGTAAAAAACTTAGGTTCCTTTGATTCACTCAGGTTTATTTGACCTTATTCTTTAACAAACCAACTAAATCATAAAAAAGAAATCAAAAGATTCCAAACGAAAGCAGTGGAAACCTGTTTTTTTGATGCAATTGTCTTATTTTTTAATTTTAGATAAGTTATTATATAGAAAAAGGGGTTTTGACGTAAAAAACTTAGGTTCCTTTGATTCACTCAGGTTTATTTGACCTTATTCTTTAACAAACCAACTAAATCATAAAAAAGAAATCAAAAGATTCCAAAAGAAAGCAGTGGAAACCTGTTTTTTTGACGCAATTGTCTTATTTTTTAATTTTAGATAAGTTATTATATAGAAAAAGGGGTTTTGACGTAAAAAACTTAGGTTCCTTTGATTCACTCAGGTTTATTTGACCTTATTCTTTAACAAACCAACTAAATCATAAAAAAGAAATTAAAAAATTCCAAAAGAAAGCAGTGGAAACCTGTTTTTTTGTTGTTTTTAAGTGAAATAATGATTTTCGTGAAAAAATTTATCGAGTTTTTAGCATTCTTTCACTATATAACATAAAGTTAGCTAAGTTGTTTTTCTTAGTATTGACTTAATCTTTATTAAATCAACATAATCTTAAAAAAGAAATCAAAAGATTCCAAAAGAAAGCAGTGGAAACCTGTTTTTTTGACGCAATTGTCTTATTTTTTAATTTTAGATAAGTTATTATATAGAAAAAGGGGTTTTGACGTAAAAAACTTAGGTTCCTTTGATTCACTCAGGTTTATTTGACCTTATTCTTTAACAAACCAACTAAATCATAAAAAAGAAATCAAAAGATTCCAAAAGAAAGCAGTGGAAACCTGTTTTTTTGACGCAATTGTCTTATTTTTTAAATTTAGATAAGTTATTATATAGAAAAAGGGTTTTGACGTAAAAAACTTAGGTCCTTTGATTCACTCAGGTTTATTTGACCTTATTCTTTAACAAACCAACTAAATCATAAAAAAGAAATCAAAAGATTCCAAAAGAAAGCAGTGGAAACCTGTTTTTTTGACGCAATTGTTTTATTTTTTAATTTTAGATAAGTTATTATATAGAAAAAGGGGTTTTGACGTAAAAAACTTAGGTTCCTTTGATTCACTCAGGTTTATTTGACCTTATTCTTTAACAAACCAACTAAATCATAAAAAAGAAATCAAAAGATTCCAAAAGAAAGCAGTGGAAACCTGTTTTTTTGACGCAATTGTCTTATTTTTTAATTTTAGATAAGTTATTATATAGAAAAAGGGGTTTTGACGTAAAAAACTTAGGTTCCTTTGATTCACTCAGGTTTATTTGACCTTATTCTTTAACAAACCAACTAAATCATAAAAAAGAAATCAAAAGATTCCAAAAGAAAGCAGTAAAAACCTGTTTTTTTGACGCAATTGTCTTATTTTTTAATTTTAGATAAGTTATTATATAGAAAAAGGGGTTTTGACGTAAAAAACTTAGGTTCCTTTGATTCACTCAGGTTTATTTGACCTTATTCTTAAACAAACCAACTAAATCATAAAAAAGAAATCAAAAGATTCCAAAAGAAAACAGTGGAAACCTGTTTTTTTGTTGTTTTTAATTGAAATAATGATTTTCGTGGCAAAATTTATCGAGTTTTTAGCATTCTTTCACTATAAAACATAAAGTTAGCTAGATTGTTTTTCTTAGTATTGACTTAATCTTTATTAAATCAACATAATCTTAAAAAAGAAATCAAAAGGTTCCAAAAGAAAGCAGTGGAAACCTGTTTTTTTGACGCAATTGTCTTATTTTTTAATTTTAGATAAGTTATTATATAGAAAAAGGGGTTTTGACGTAAAAAACTTAGGTTCGTTTGATTCACTTAGATTTATTTGACCTTATTCTTTAACAAACCAACTAAATCATAAAAAAGAAAGCAAAAGATTCCAAAAGAAAGCAGTGGAAACCTGTTTTTTTGACGCAATTGTCTTATTTTTTAATTTTAGATAAGTTATTATATAGAAAAAGGGGTTTTGACGTAAAAAACTTAGGTTCCTTTGATTCACTCAGGTTTATTTGACATTATTCTTTAACAAACCAACTAAATCATAAAAAAGAAATCAAAAGATTCCAAAAGAAAGCAGTGGAAACCTGTTTTTTTGTTGTTTTTAAGTGAAATAATGATTTTCGTGAAATAATTTATCGAGTTTTTAGCATTCTCACTATAAAACATAAAGTTAGCTAGGTAGTTTTTCTTAGTATTGACTTAATCTTTATTAAATCAACATAATCTTAAAAAAGAAATCAAAAGATTCCAAAAGAAAGCAGTGGAAACCTGTTTTTTTGACGCAATTGTCTTATTTTTTAATTTTAGATAAGTTATTATATAGAAAAAGGGGTTTTGACGTAAAAAACTTAGGTTCCTTTGATTCACTCAGGTTTATTTGACCTTATTCTTTAACAAACCAACTAAATCATAAAAAAGAAATCAAAAGATTCCAAACGAAAGCAGTGGAAACCTGTTTTTTTGACGCAATTGTCTTATTTTTTAATTTTAGATAAGTTATTATATAGAAAAAGGGGTTTTGACGTAAAAAACTTAGGTTCCTTTGATTCACTCAGGTTTATTTGACCTTATTCTTTAACAAACCAACTAAATCATAAAAAAGAAATCAAAAGATTCCAAAAGAAAGCAGTGGAAACCTGTTTTTTTGTTGTTTTTAAGTGAAATAATGATTTTCGTGAAAAAATTAAGTTTTTAGCATTCTTTCACTATAAAACATAAAGTTAGCTAGGTTGTTTTTCTTAGTATTGACTTAATCTTTATTAAATCAACATAATCTTAAAAAAGAAATCAAAAGATTCCAAAAGAAAGCAGTGGAAACCTGTTTTTTTGACGCAATTGTCTTATTTTTTAATTTTAGATAAGTTATTATATAGAAAAAGGGGTTTTGACGTAAAAAACTTAGGTTCCTTTGATTCACTCAGGTTTATTTGACCTTATTCTTTAACAAACCAACTAAATCATAAAAAAGAAATCAAAAGATTCCAAAAGAAAGCAGTGGAAACCTGTTTTTTTGACGCAATTGTCTTATTTTTTAATTTTAGATAAGTTATTATATAGAAAAAGGGGTTTTGACGTAAAAAACATAGGTTCCTTTGATTCACTCAGGTTTATTTGACCTTATTCTTTAACAAACCAACTAAATCATAAAAAAGAAATCAAAAGATTCCAAAAGAAAGCAGTGGAAACCTGTTTTTTTGTTGTTTTTAAGTGAAATAATGATTTTCGTGAAATAATTTATCGAGTTTTTAGCATTCTTTCACTATAAAACATAAAGTTAGCTAGGTTTTTTTTCTTAGTATTGACTTAATATTTATTAAATCAACATAATCTTAAAAAAGAAATCAAAAGATTCCAAAAGAAAGCAGTGGAAACCTGTTTTTTTGACGCAATTGTCTTATTTTTTAATTTTAGATAAGTTATTATATAGAAAAAGGGGTTTTGACGTAAAAAACTTAGGTTCCTTTGATTCACTCAGGTTTATTTGACCTTATTCTTTAACAAACCAACTAAATCATAAAAAAGAAATCAAAAGATTCCAAAAGAAAGCAGTGGAAACCTGTTTTTTTGACGCAATTGTCTTATTTTTTAATTTTAGATAAGTTATTATATAGAAAAAGGGGTTTTGACGTAAAAAACTTAGGTTCCTTTGATTCACTCAGGTTTATTTGACCTTATTCTTTAACAAACCAACTAAATCATAAAAAAGAAATCAAAAGATTCCAAAAGAAAGCAGTGGAAACCTGTTTTTTTGTTGTTTTTAAGTGAAATAATGATTTTCGTGAAAAAATTAATCGAGTTTTTAGCATTCTTTCACTATAAAACATAAAGTTAGCTAGGTTGTTTTTCTTAGTATTGACTTAATCTTTATTAAATCAACATAATCTTAAAAAAGAAATCAAAAGATTGCAAAAGAAAGCAGTGGAAACCTGTTTTTTTGACGCAATTGTCTTATTTTTTAATTTTAGATAAGTTATTATATAGAAAAAGGGGTTTTGACGTAAAAAACTTAGGTTCCTTTGATTCACTCAGGTTTATTTGACCTTATTCTTTAACAAACCAACTAAATCATAAAAAAGAAATCAAAAGATTCCAAAAGAAAGCAGTGGAAACCTGTTTTTTTGACGCAATTGTCTTATTTTTTAAATTTAGATAAGAGTAGTAAGAGATTGCCGATTCAGAGGGATTTTTTATTTTCAACCAAATTTTTAACCATAAATTAATATGAATATTGGGGTTAACATTTAACCATATTGTGTATAAATTATTTCAACAAGAAATAATTTTTTATTTTAAAAAATTGATTTTTTAAAATAAGTGTTAATTTTTTATTTCTTGTTATGAAATATGACGAAAAATTCTTGCATGACGTCACGTGACTTTTTCTTGCTGTTTTTAAAGCGTTATAAAATGAATCCATACCCTAATTCATGTAAATAATTAATAATTTCAAGGTAATCAATTGCCCATTCATCTCCTTTATAACCTAATTCATGTAAATATTTAACTATTTCAAGGTGACCACTTCCTGCAGCATTATCAATTGCCAATTCTGTTCCTCTATACCCTAATTCATGCAAATATTTTAATACTTCAAGATGACCATTTACTGCAGCATAATTAATTGCATCTTCTGTTCCTTTATATCCAATAGAATGTAAATATTTAATTACTTCAAGATGACCATTTTGAGCAGCACGAGTAATTGTCCATTCATCTCCTTTATAACCTAATTCATGCAAATATTTTAATACTTCAAGGTGATCATTTTCTGCAGCAGAATTAATTGCATTTTTTGTTCCTTTATACCCTAACTCATGTAAATATTTAACTATTTCAAGGTGACCACTTCCTGCAGCATAATCAATTGCCCATTCATCTACTTTATACCCTAATTCATTTAAATATTTAATTACTTCAAGATGACCATTTACTGCAACATTATGAATTACACAATCGTAACATTCATACCCTAATTCATGCAAATATTTTAATACTTTAAGGTGACCATTTTCTGCAGCATAATGAATTGTCCATTCATCTCCTTTATAACCTATTTCATGTAAATATTTTAGTACTTCAAGTTGGCCTTCTTTTACAGCATTATCTATTACTTTTTTTATACCTTTATAACCTAATGATTGTAAATATTTTTGTACATCTTCTGTACTCTTTTCACCTAATTGATTTAATAATTTATTATTCTCAATATTATTTTCCATTCTTTTTATATACACAAGAAAATTATTTAACTCATTTTCAATTTTTTTTATTTTTTTAATACGCATGCGCTAGATTTACTTAAGCATTGCTTAACTTTATCACTACTAGAATTTATAGTCACTACGTGTATCAAAATTATTAAATATATCCATTTTCTACAGCTAAATTATTAAACAATTTTGAACCTTTATACCCTAATTCATGTAAATATTTAATAATTTCAAGGTTACTATCTGATGCTGATTCTGAGCATATCTGGTTATTTACTGCACAATTAAATGCACTTTCATCACCTTTATATCTTAACGAATGTAAATATTTAATAATTTCAATATTTCCACTTTCAACAGCAGAATAAATTGTATGTTCATCTCCTTTATAACCTAATGAATGTAAATATTTAATCATATCTAAATTTCCACTTTCAGCAGCATAACTAATTGTCCATTCATTTCCTTTATACCCTAATTCATGCAAGTATTTTAATAATTCAAGGTTTCCTTTTTTTGCAGCATCATTAATTGCCCAATCATAATCATATATTACATCTTCTGTACATTTATATCCTAATTCAAGTAAATTTTTTACTACTACTTCAAGTTGACCTTTTTCATCAGCATCATTTATTGCATCATTTATTGCATCTTCTATATCTTTTATATCTTTATAACCTAATTCATGTAAATATTTTAATATTTTAATGTGAATATTTTCATCTTCTTCATCTTCATCATCTTCATCATATTCATCATCTTCATCTTCTTCAGTCATTTCAATATCATCACTATATTCAGTAGTTTCTGTAATTTCAGTAACTTCAGTAGTAGTAACTGTAGTAATTTCAGAATCTTCAGTCATTTCAATATCATGAATATTAATAATATTTAATTTTTCTTCTATTAATCTTAATCTTTCATCTATTGATCTTAAAAATGAATTTTGCATTTCGTTTTCCATTCTTTTTATATATACAAGAAAATTATTTAACTCATTTTCAATTTTTTGATTTAAAATATTTTTACAAATAATAAAAAATAAAAAATGAATGATGAAATTAATGAAATATCTGAATTTCAAAAAGAATTTAAACTTTTTGAAGAAATATTAAAATTTGAATTTGAAGAATCAGATTCTGAAGATGACACTTATTATACATCTGATGAAGCTACTTATTTTACATCTGATGGTGAAGATGAAGTTAAAGAAAAACCTATAGTTCCAATTCCTTTAAAAACAGTTCAAATCATGGAACTGCATAAAGATAAGCTGAAATGGATTAATTATATTCCAACTTATAATGTTATTAATGATGATTTTCCTGCTATAGATAGTTTCTTAACAAAAAAACATTACAAAAAAAGAAAATTTAGTTTTGAAAAACCATTTAATGTAGATATCAATTTTACTGAAGATGGAAAACCTTCAACAATTCATTTTGTAGAGAAACTACCCATTTTCTGTAAAAATATTTTAAAAGATAATTATTGTCATTTTGAAAATAGATGTAAATACAATCATGATATTCCTTATTGTAATACTGTAAAGGAAAGACTAATATGCACTAAATCTTCATGTCAATATAGACATTTATCTCTATGTTCTGAATACCCAAAATGTAAGAATAAAAAGTGTAGATTGTTTCATCCCAAAAAGTCAGAATTATTAAAATTAAGAAAAGCTAAAACTAAATTATGCAAATATATTCTTGATAAAAAAGAATGTAAAAATATAAATTGCAAATATGCTCATTCTTTTAAAGAAATTGAAAAAAATGTAGAAATTTGTCATTATACTCCATGTAAATTAGTAGAGAGTAAATTAAAGAAAAATAAAAAAGGAGAAAAAATATTATTATATAAAAATAATGATAATAAAAAGTGTAATTTTTTACATCAAGGTGAAAGCATTTTAAATTATATTGCTAGAACTTTAAAAACAAAATAGATATGAGGATTACAGAGTGATTTAAAAAAATCTTTACATTTATAAAATGTATAATAGTAGAATGTTTTTATATTATGAAAAACATGAACAATATAGAATAACTTTTAATATTAATTCAGATTTAGAACATAGAGCAATAAATGATAGACATATTAAAGTATTCGCACAAGAAGATTTTACAGTAAAATCAAATTCATATAATAACATTTCTTTAATGTGTGGTGTTGAAATAGATAAAGGAAATATAGTGATTTCAATTGCAGAAAATTATAAACCAGAACTAAATTTACTAAATTCTATTGTAACAGAGTCTACTGACGATATTAAAATAACTGTATATAATAACGATAAAAAAGATATAAACATTAAAAAAGGAGATTTGTTATGTTGTATATCAACTTATAATGGTGTTTTAAATGCAAATTATATATCACATAGAGATGCTTTAGAACATGTTAAAGAAGAACAAATTAGACAACAAAATGACTCAGGAACTAAACAGAAAAGTGATAAAGAATCTGTAAAATCTTTATTATCAAGTATAGAAGAAGTAATTAAAGATAAATCTGATGAAGATATATTTAATTTTGGTAAAAAGTGATTTAGCGAAGCATTGATCGCAAAAGTGATTTAAAACAAATTTTTCTTTATAGAAAAAAGAAAATGCTATGTAATAATGGATATAATAATGAATGTAAGCAGCTTTATCCAGATCTTAACCAGTTTTCAGAAAATCCATCTGCACCACAACAATCTATAGATCATAACTTTAGATTACAAAAGATTAGTGAAATTCAAGATAAAATAGAATGTGAAAGAATTAGAAGAGAGATTTTAAGTAAAAAATATCATAGAGCTGTAAGAATCATTTCAGCAGTTGATAATACATTACTAGCAAGCACTATGACACTTGGTGCTGTTGGTATTGGTTTTTTAACAACAATAGTTGGAACACCAGTAGCTATTGCATGTGAAGGTGCAGCATTAGGTATGGGTGTATTATCATTAATAGGATCACAAGCTATTAAAAAATTAACAATAAAAGCAGAAAAGCATGAAAAGATTAAAGTACTAGCTGATGCAAAACTAAATACAATAAGTAGTCTTATTTCTAAAGCTATATCAGATCAATATATTGATGATGCAGAATTTAATATGATACTTTCAGAACTTGAAAAGTTTCAAGATATGACTGAACAAATTAGAACAAAATCTAAGAATGATATAGATGAACAGACTAAAGAGTCACTCATTAATCAAGGTAAAGAGAAAGCAATGAAAGAAACTATGGAATTGCTAAATATGAGATTTAACAAAAATCAGAATATAGGAGTGATGAATAATACTCTTAAGAATTAAATAAAAAAACATATATTATGTATTATTTGAACATATATTATGTATTAAAAACATAATATATGTTGATTTAATCCCTTTAGGGATCTAGGGATCACATTGTGATTTAAAAAAATTATTACATATATAAAAATGTATGCAAAAGCTACAGATATTGATGCAAGATTAAAAATAGCAAAAGAACTTGCTAGTTTAAAGAAAAGTATATATCAAGATGATGTAAATGAAAAGTTGGGCTATGATGCTTTACAGACTAACTTGGAAAAGTTGTACAAACCAATAATTGATAGTCAATCTGGAATAAAAGAAGGTATATCTAAATTAGAAAATAAAGCTGATCAAATAGCAAATACTTTTTCAAATTATCCTGCTTTACTAGATTCTGAAACTAAAGCAATCATGCCACCTGAAGTTGTAGATAACATGAGATTAGGACCTATCGCAGCAGAATATCTAAAGTTATATACTGCTAAAAATAGTAAAAAAGTATCAGATGATATATTTGGTATACATTACAATGAAAGTGATAAAAAATTTTACATTGGTAAAAAACCAATAACTATTGAAGGTGATGATATAACCATTGAAGGTAAAAAATACATTGGTACACCAGGTCTTTGGGAGATTATAGTAAAATCTCATCCTGTTAGATATACTAACGATGATCGTAATAAGTATAAAGAAATTTTAAATCAAACAGATGCAATTCGCTCTGATTTAAATTTAGCTAAACCAAAATCATCTAGAGGTTATAAGTACACTAATTTAATAAAACCTATTTGGGAAGAGATGATTGGAAAGTATGGAAAAGGAGTTGTTATTCTTCCTAGCGATCCAAATGCACTATTTGATATGCTTAAATTACGCTTAGCTGGTTTACAAGCAGGAAATACTGGAACAAGAAATGAGATTGTTGCTATTTGTGATGAGTTGTTACGACAGGGGCAAATAGATGATGATGAGTATAAAGCATTACAGAAAGCGATTTAAAAAAATTATTTTATATATAAAAATGACAAAATACCATGATACTTTTATTAATCTGTCAGCAAGTCAGAGTGAAAAAATTAAAAACGCAATTGAATCTGGTACTAATGCTAGTATAAAACTATCATATGAAGATTTAAATGGTGAACACAAATTAGCTTTAACAGAGTCACAAATAAACAGAATGAAAGCAGCCTATTTAAAAAATAAGGGTATAACACTTTCACTGAGTAGAGCACAACTTAAACATGATGTTAAAAAAAGTGGTGGATTTTTACCTTTTCTAGCATTAATTGGAGCAACTCTTGCAAGTGCTGCTCCAATAATTGCAAAGACTGCTGCAACAGCAGCATTAGCAGGAGCAGCAGGAGCAGCTGGAAATGCTATAGTTAATAAAATTGCTGGAAAAGGTATTAATTATGGAAATGGTATTATTTATGGAAAAAAGAATGGTTATGGAATTAAAATTAGAAAAGTAGGAAAAGGAGTATTTTTAAACCCATGGAATGGTAGTGAAAATTATTCGAATGGGTATTATTTAAGAAATGGAAATGATTATTCATCAGTAGGTAGAGGTCTGTTATTATCAGAAAATTCTCCAATTAAGAATAAACAATTATTAAATTCGATTATTTAAGTCTTCATAAAAAAAAAATATATATTTTTTAAAAAATATATATTTATCGATTCCACAATGAAGTTGGATAATAAAATAAATCTAATCCACTTCTATACTTTCCATTTAATAAATCAGAAGACAAATCTATAGCAACAAATCCATGCTTTTTTGACCAAGCTTCATTACAAAACTTTTTAAACTCATCTAATTTCATATCATTTGAAACATGATCATTATAAATATGATTTACATTTTTAGAATCTTGTTTAAACAAGCATATCAAATTTGCATTTTCTCTTATCGTTCTCCTAGGCAACTCAAAATAATTTTGTGCCAAGTAGAAACAATCTACATTGCTATGTCTTCCTCTTATATAGTACTTTTCACACTTGTTTTGTTTTGTTAATTGTAAATCATCAAATATCATTAAATTATTTTTAATAGAGTTGAGACTTTCAGGTTCTGGTACATCCTCTGCTGTTTCAAAAAATTTACACTCTATATCTGTTTTATCTTTTAAATTTCTTGAAATGTCTTTAATAACAAACTCTGGATTTACATTGTTTTTATTTATTTGATCTTGCAACTCAAATAGTTTAAGAATAACTTCTTTTGGTAATTTATTTTCAAAAGAATTTTTTAATATTTTGTATTCAGGTTGAAAAAGAGATTTTCCAAAAACTTGTAAATTATTATAGTCTAACCAACCAGGTCTTAATAGCAAGTTTAATAATAATGTTGTTTTTCCACAACCTGATTTTCCAACAATAATCCCTCTTATACTTTTAGGCAATAACTCATTATTTTGACGTTTACTTTTACTTACATTCCATGATAAATCTATAATTTCCATTTTTTATTTACGAAAAGTATTTTTTAAATTAAATAAATTAAAATACATATATAAAAAATGTATTGCGTTAAATGTAAAAACAAAACAGATACACTCAACTTACAACATGCTGTGAGTAAAAACAAAAGAAATATGCAATGTGGAAATTGTGCAATCTGTGGAACAAGAAAATGTCAATTTATAAAAGGAGCTCAAAAAGGAGGTGATTTGGTAGAATCTATTAATAAATTCACAAGTAATAAAAAATTACCTTTGCAAAAGTTTCCAGGTGAAATGCATATACCAGGTATGAACTTTGCAGGACCTGGTACTAATTTAGATGAAAGATTAACTTCGACTGAGATGCCTAAAGAATGGAGCATGCCTGTAGATAGAGTTGATAAAACAGCTTATATTCATGATCTTGCTTATAAACATTTTCCAGATAAAGAGAATAGAAATTTAGCTGATAAAATAATGCTTGAACAAATGGATGCTATACCTAATCCTACGCCTCGTGAAAAATTAGAAAGAAAGATTATAAAACCTATCATATCTGCTAAAGTAAGGTTTGGTATGGGAAATAAAGAACCAATAAGTATTAAAGAATTATGTCAAAAAAACTGCAAGCGCAGAGGAAAAAAAGCAAAAACCTGAAATGGACTGATGAACTTGCAAATGAACTTCATAAACCTGTTATAAAACATTTTAGAAAA